CTTAATAACCGAAAACCGAACCGAAAAACCGAAATTTTAAAATTTTAAACCGAAACTAACCGAACAAACCGAATAATCGAAACCGAAATAAAAAAAATTCGGTTCGGTCGGTTTATTCGGTTCCGACCGAAATATGCCCACCCCTAGTCCCGTCCCGTCCCGTTAATTTTTTCCCGTCCCGTCCCGTCCCACAACCATAATGCACTATACTAAAAATAAATTTTCACTTTTACTTGTCCGTTTTAGCAAATCAAGAGAAAGACAAATTTTTTTTCTTGTTTTACCCTCATCATTAATTACTCATTTCCAAAATTATTTCCCAAGACTCTTTGGAATGCTATCATTATGGGGAGTTACAAGGTAAAATACATTCTACAATTATTGTTTCTTAAGGGCGTGAAAAGTCCAAAGTGGACAACTAAAAGTGAACGGAGGGATTACATTCTAATTGTAGCTTTTATTCTAAGTAAGGTGTAATCAAATTCATTAAAGAAATTAAATGTGATTGATTCTCATACTCTAAATTTCTGCTAAAAGTAGTTTTTACGTAACTTCCAAATATGTATGGAGTAAATTAAATTCAGCGAGAGAGCTGCAGTGAACATCATTCATTTTGGGATATATAGAGTAAGAATATGCAGCTAATGGGAGTAAAAGTTTGCTTCATACTTGTCCTTATTCATGAACTGAGAATACTATGGCAGGATTAGAAGTTTATGATTCCGGAATTCTACTTCTTAAAAGCTATTGATCTGAAGGGGAGCCTTGGTGTAACTGGTAAAGTTGCTGCCATGTGAACAGAAGATCACGGGTTCGAGCTGTGGAAACAACATCTTGTAGAAATACAGGGTTCGCCCTTTCCCGAATCCCGCACATAGCAGGATCTTAGTGCACTGAATTTCCCTAAAACAATTGGTTCTAAATTAATATAATTTGTATATATTCAACAAATTTCCTGACAAATGCAGAATTTAGACTTAGGTGTGTAGGACTGGCCTTTGGCAACTTGGGATTCTTAGAGGTTCTTTAGTTCTTTCTTTCTTTGGCTCATTCTTTCTTTTGTGTTTATATTTGTGTTTTATTTTTGACCTTTTTCTTTACATCTTTCTCTCTTGTCTCTTCCACATATATCAATATTTTAAGTGGGAAATGACACTTGTATATATTAAAGTAATTGCGTCCCAGCTATTTAATCAAATATTCATTACCTCCCATCAATACCGGTATGGAAATACATTTTAATAATGAAATTTAAACAACTATTAATATAACCTCTTGCCAAAAAAAAAGTGAAAATTTCATATTAAAACAACGGAAAAGGGCCAAAATTATCCCTATCGTTTGCTAAATGGTTTATAAATACCCTCCGTCCATCTATCCGTTCAAAAAAACACATGAAGTTAATTCTATTAACAAAAATACCCCCGCGACTAACGGCAGAACTGATGGAGTGTGTTTTTTTGAACGGATAGATGGACGGAGGGTATTTATAAACCATTTAGCAAACGATAGGGATGAGTCTTTCATTTAATGACATGGCGATTTTTAATTGGGCCACGTGGCAATCTTTGACTGGAACAAAAAATGGATATTATTTCAACTCATTTACCTTATCCGACCCATTTACAAAAATGGGTAGTATCTATCACACCCATTCCCACTCATCTGATCTCGCCCTTTCTTCTTCTCCAATTGGGACACTGCATACACACAACAACAAATTAATTAAAGAATAGATAAAACCGAAAATCAAATAACTTGAAATTTAAACCAGATTCTGAAATTTCTCCAATCAAACTCAGGATAAGTATTGAAACTCTTAAATGGAAAATCAACAGATACATTTGGGTTGTTAAGTAAGAAGACAAGGATCAAAACAAACCAAACATCTGAAACAAAAAAATTGAGCCTAAATGCTAAAATTGTCCAAGTATATCAATCAAATCTAGGAGAAATATTCAAACTTTGAAAGGGAAAAGTAATGGAAATCTTTGGATTGTTCATAAGAAGACAAAAGAGCCACGAAATAACAGAGAAAAAACAACTACATATAACTGATACAAGCACACAAGAAAATTGAAACCAAGGTGCTAAAAAGCTTGAAATTATCACATTCTAGGATAAAGATTGAATCTATAAAAGGTAAAAAAAAGTAAAAGGTTACCTTCGGGATGTTCATAAGAAGAAGAAGAGGGGGACCAGGTAAATGGGTCAAAAAGAGAGGAAAACAAAAGGCAAGAAAAAGAAAGAAAATAATTAGGCGGGTCAAATAAATAGGGTCGGACCAGGTAAATGGGTAAAAATAAGACCCATATTTGATTCTTGGTCAATAATGCCACGTGGCCCAATTAAAAATCGCCACGTCATTAAATGAAAGACCCAACCCTATCGTTTGCTAAATGGTTTATAAATACCCTCCGTCCATCTATCCGTTCAAAAAAACACACTCTATCAGTTCTGCCGTTAGTCGCGGGGGTATTTTTGTTAATAGAGTTAACTTCGTGTGTTTTTTTGGACAGATAGATGGGCGGAGTGTATTTTTTTGAACGGATAGATGAACGGAGGGTATTTATAAATCATTTAGCAAACGATAGGGATAGTTTTGGCCCTTTTCCGTTAAAACAATTGGGCTGCCTCCTTTTCAGCTTTATAGCCCATATTTCAATTTACAATTGAGTAGCCTAAAAATTATAGGCCCATATCTGAAAAAGGAGCGTTAATTCCGTTTTTTTGGGAGTAAAAAGCGGGATTTTTCTGCATTTTCTCAGATTTTTTCCAATCTTCTTCCCCAAATACTTCAAAAACGAGATCTTCCCATGAATGCAGCTCCAAAAACCCTAGAATTTCTTCTTCATCTCGAACTAACAACAAATCAAACACGAAAAGTAAAATTTGTTTGCTGCAAATCATCGTAATTTTAGTTTTTGCTTCAATTTTGATTTCCATTTTTTGTTCGATGGAGATTTTTTCAGTTTACGTTCTTCATAGTGGTGAATGGGAAGAAAACAAGTTTATCAATTTCGTCAGCGATTGTGTAATAATCGAGTCGACATTCACCTACAACAATTTAGTTGCAGCTATTTCGGAACAGATTAGGATCGATAGTGAGTTAAACATAATAGAGATTAACTTTCTCCCAAATGTTGGTTTGCCACCGATCCTGATTTACAACGATACAAATGTGAAGGTGTATATCGAATTAAAGAAGAAAAACTTGAATTTCACTGAATATCCTTTGTTTGTGACAGTGAAAGAGATATATGAAAATCGTTTGGTTCCTACAAGTTCTAGTTATGTAGTTGCTACAAGTTCCAGCTGTTTGGTTGGTACAAATTCAGATTCTAGAGATGTATCAACAATTGATAGCACTGAGATTATTGATATCAAATTTATTGAAAATACGAAATTTAGTGAAAACACGGGTATAATAGATGATATATTGAACGAATTTGTTGAGGAAGATCAAGATTATAAGGATAAAGAGACAGTTGTCAGTGTGATGAAGAACTTGGCTGTACGTGAAAGGTTCCAATTCAAGGTGAAGAGATCAAGCGCAACAAGGTATGTAAATAATTGTATATTCTGTTATATATATGTATAAAGTAGTATATATTTGTATCTAGGTATTAAAATTAGTATATATGTAGTTATGTTTTTGTATACAAGTGTATTTAGAAGTTGAATGATCTTTAATCCTAGGTATCACCTTATGTGTAAGGATGAAAATTGTGCTTGGAGTTTCAAATCTTCTGCCGTTTTCAAGGCAAACATATTCAAAGTGAGAAGTTACAACGTCAAGCTACTTCGGGTGTAATTGCTAGTATAGTCAAGGACAAGTATGTTAATCCAAAAAAAGTTTACACTGCAAATGATATAATAAAGGACATACAAAAGCAACACGGAATTGAGGTGAGCTACATGAAAGCATGGAGAGCTAAAGAGATAGCAATGGCAATGATAAGAGGGAGTCCTAGTGATTCATATAAGGAGTTGCCGAAGTATTTTTATATGTTAGAGCAAACAAATCCAGGAACGGTTATAAAGTTGCACAAATCAGAAGATGGATGCTTTCTTTATGCATATGTTTCGCTATATGCATCTATCAAGGGCTGGGAGCATTGCAGACCGATAATGGTTGTTGATGGAAGTTTCCTTAAAGCAGCATATAAGGGTACCATATTGACTGCTTGCACACAGGATGGAGCTGGTGAGTTGACTGCATCTACCTTGTTTCTGCAGTTTGTATATGTTGTAGTTTCATGTATAAAAGTGTATAGGATTTCACAGCTAATGTTTTTATAAAATTTGCAGTTGGTATAAAATTGTATAATTGTGTATAACTGTGTATAATATTTGTATAATTGTCTGAATCCTAATATCTATTTTGTATAAACAGGAAAAATCCTTCCACTTGCATATGCAATTGTAGATTCAGAGAATAACAAATCTTGGGAGTGGTTCTTTGTCCAGATAAAGAGTACTTTTGGAGTTAGGGAAGGGATGTGTATAGTTTCAGATAGAAATGAAAGCATCTTCAATGTCACAAAAGCTGTGTACCCAGAAGTACCACATTGTATTTGCATGTTTCACTTGTGGCAGAATGTAAACCGCACATTCAAGAAACATCACAAACAATTGAAGGATATCTTCTTTGCTTCGGCTAGAGCTTACACGGTAGAGAAGTTTGAGTACCATATAACAGAGATGTGCAAAATTGATCCGAGAGTGCAGCCTTACTTGTTCGAAAATGGATATGAAAGGTGGTCTAGGGCATATTCCAAAGTGAAAAGGTCGATGGTAATGACTTCCAATATTGCAGAGTCAATTAATGCAGCAAACAAGGATGCTAGAGAGTTACCAGTAATGCGATTGCTGGAGTACATGACAAATTTGCTACAACAGCGGAACAACAAAAATAGAAAAGTGCAATGGAGACATCTACAGAGCTTGGCGAAAAGTACGACAAACTCCTTCGGGAAAATCTGATTGCATCGGAGCAAATGGCGGTAAATTGAATCAAATATAATGATGCTTGGCACTGCTGACTTGCATTTTACTGCTTGTATAAGGATGTATATCTCTGTATAATAATGTATAATGTTCTTTCACTTTTAAAAAAAAAAAAACTTTTGCAGGTGAGGCCTGCGACGGAGAAGTTATATACTGTGTTTGAAGGGGTAAGGCGAAACATAGTGTGCCTTGAAGAGGGAACATGCAGTTGTGGAAAATTTCAAATGGATGAACTTCCATGTCCGCATGCTTGGGCGGTTTTGAAGAACCAGCAGCTGAAACCTGGCCAGTATTGCTCTTTTTACTACAAGAAGGATAAACTCCTTAGAACTTATGAATTTCCAGTCAATCCGATGCCAGATGAGAGTCTATGGGTAACCCCAACAGAGGTGATGGAAGATGTGGTCCTACCACCTAAAGGGAGAAGGAATGCAGGAAGGCCAAGAAAGGAAAGACTCAAACCTGCTTTAGAAAAAGAGTCTAAGAGGGCATTTTCATGTTCTGTGTGTGGACAAGGTGGTCACAATAGAAAAACATGTAGGAATCGACCAAAATAGCTAGTTGAAAACGTAACACTTCCTATACATTTGTTGTCATGTTGAGTAGTTAAGTTTCACAAAGAATAGAGTTACAAATGTTGAGTAGTTAAGTCTCACAAGTAATTGAATTACAAATGTCAATAAAGATTTACAACATACGCTATATATTGCAATTGTGTTAAATATGTTTCATTATACGTGTTTTGATTATCCAATAATAGTGTGTTGCTGTTTTTAATGGTGCTAAATATATTGATACATTGTACAAATACAAAACAGAACTGCTGGTATTATATGTATACAGATGTATAAATAAGAGTATAAGTTTGTATAAATATGTATAAACCCTGCTACAACAACAAAACTGCAACCATAATGAATATACATACTTTGTTAAAGGACAAAAGCAACTGATATATTCATTAAAATGTAATTCATTCACAGACACAATGTGTAATGACTACCGCAAATTAAACAAAAATAAAAACATCTATAAAATCCTTTAATGCTATCTCACAAGTAGCAGAATAGTACTTAGACAAAACTAGGCAACAACTCCTGATACATAGAAAAACCACAGTAAAATGGGAAAAACAGAACTACTTTCTCGGTCGCCCCCTCTTCCTCTTCTTGAAAAGTCTCCCTGTGATTTCATCACCACTAATTGCACTGGACTGTTGTTTTTTCCTTCCATAATCCCACAACAAAGATCCCCACCTGGTGCGAAGTGTCTCAATGTCAAAATTATCTTTTCGAATTTCCTTACCAAGGATGAAATACTCAGCAAAGCCAACAACAAAAGCACCACAATCACTGTAATTAAAAAGAAAAAGATCAGATTCAAATAGGTAAACTAATAGTAAAATAGTAAAACAATTGAGATTAACCTACCATTTGATCAGTTGGGGAACATTATTAACCAGATTAATCTGCAAAACATCAGAATGGGATTTATCGGTATATGCACCATTGTTCCAATCAATGGCCTTCTTCTCGACATAAAAATCAGAATTGTTCAAGAAGTAAGGTATTAGAATCGCATAAGGTAATGAAGCATCCAAAACAAGTCTATCATTAATAGCTCCACGATTAGAATCATAGATGTGGATGCACCTATCTATGAAGGTAAACACCCCCAAAACCCAATGGCCCAATTTTGCTCTTCCGCGCTTCACATAGATAGGGAATAAGACGTGGTCAACAGTGTGCCACGGGACATTTGCATCACAATAATATCCTCTAATGTTCTCTTCTATCTCATGCCCTTCAGGAATCATTGAAGGATCTTGATTCACTTTGAAAACTTTATACATGGAATTGATCTTGTTACCAAAGGCAAAGTCGGCTGTAGTAAACCGCATGGCAACACTCGGCCCATATTTTCCCCTCTTCCTCGAATAATAAAAGAGGACATCCAAGTGCTGAAACAAGAAATAAAATAGAACAACCATCACTACCAGATATTTTAAATATAGAAATTTATATACTATTATACAGAGGTATACATATTTATACAGGGTTATACAATCTTATACAATATTATACTGTGATTATACAAGGCTATGTATACACTATGGGGGTCTCAAATAATAAAGATATGCAACAAATAAAAAAAACAATTAGAACATAAATTTATTAAATACCGTGTCAATGAAAGGTCGACCACGATATGCAAGTGAGTGGAACCAATCCTTCGTGGTCACATTACACGAGCCAAAAATAAAAGCTTCCGCAAGTTTATTTACTTCATCGGGATATATATTTTTGGCACTTCAAATCACAAAAAGTAAAAAGTAATCAGAACTACATTCATTGATAAGTTTAAAATTAGAACTTGAAAGATTAAAGAAAGTGAAGATACCTTTGCCTCGTATCCATCCCATTATCAACAAACGCGCAAAACTCTTTAGCCAATGGCGACAATGGATCAAAATCATCAATTTCGATCGTGAAAGGATGCTTGATATCAAAAATGAGCTTGGGCGCCGATCCTGATGCCCCCGAATCAAAAACTGGTAAATATGGAGATTTGACATATTTTCCTGGTATTTTCTGTCGAACTGACTTTTCAGGAGAAATGAAATCATCTTCTACGTCTATGATGGATTGTTTGTGAAGCACAATTTGGGACATCTGCAGCGCAGCTAAATCTTCATCGCCAATGTCATCCCAAAATATGTCACCCTTAACATCACCTGCTGCCCCTTAGACGGAGAAAACAAATAATAAAAAATTTTAAAATGAAGAAAAGAAAAATCAGACAAAAAAAAGAAGATAAAATGCAGAACAAATACCATGATCAACACCATCAGTAACTCTCTCGTCAACTAGCACGTCATCTTGATTCACTTGATTGACAAAGTCAGGAACAACATCATATTGATAGCCATCATATTCGCTAAGACCAGATGTATTGTCATCAGACACGCGTTGATGAATATAATAACAAACAATAGAAAGATAAGTCATAGTTGTTGAGTGATGATTCAGAGAAGGAATAACTATTGAGTGATTTGGTTTTATCAGTAAACAATTACCTTAGAATCAGTAAAATCCTCCCTCGTTTGCTTGGTTTCCTTCATATTCAGAAAACTGAACACTTTTCAAAGGAAGAAACTACATAATTGTTGAGTGTCGTTGCTGTATCAGTCAACTACAACAACAAAAAAAAATCAAAAGCAAATCAACAAAACCATGTTTATAACAAAAAAACCATGTATATACAAAAAGTACTGATAAACTACAGAAAAGTTAAAGGTCCAGTACCTTTCCAACAGCACTCCTCAACTTCTCAACTTCAGCATTCAACAGATCAATGCGCACCAAAGGATCATAACTCGGGTTAGGCTGTCGATCCATATTCTGAGGAAAAGGTCGTTTAGACTGCTGCTCCGTATTCTGAGGATAAGGTCGTTTAGACTGTTGCTCCATATTCTGAGGACAAGGTGGAGATGCAGCGACAGAATCATCAGTGTGAAAGGCAGGCACCACAGGCACATCCCCTGATGCAACATCATCGGCATTAACTTCAAAAAGCGTGTCGATGTTCAGAGTTGACAACTCTTCACGAGTAGGGGAAATATTCCTATAGTTCAACTACAAGAAAAAAAACTGGATTACAATGGTAGAAAAGGAAATTGTAACATATTCATAAATATACATACAGAAAAACTGAAATCATATTTGAAGAAGTATTATGGTACAAAATCTTTACCTTGTCGATACTACACGTGATCACCCCGCCAGCCAAATCCGCATATGTTGGAGTTTCAGTCACTTTTCAATTAAGAATGCGTGGCAGCATTTGTTCCAACTGCGACAGCTAGATGCTTTGTCAACATAGAGCAACACTCAAAAAACCAATACTTGTAATGCAAGTGGCAAACCTCCAAGCCTATACATTGTCAAAATAGTCACACTGTCTGTCCCTTCATTCGTCTTAAAATATCTTCAAATAAACTTTTTTCCCCAAGAATACATCTGATATTGACCACTTTCAATGTATATCAAATCATCTTTGTTGATACCATGATTATTGGCATCAAGAATATGAAATGGATGGACAAACACCCATCAAGGCCATCTTGAATGCATCTTCGTCGACTTCCAGCCCTTTTTCTTGAAACGATCAAAAAGCTACCCCTAGTTATAGCCTTTTTTTCATCTCTGGAAAATACACTTTAGCAACTATTAACATCTGGTTTGTCCATAGAAAGCGGCGTCGTCGTCTACACACTTCAAACAGTGATAACAGCAAACTCTCCAATGCCAAAACGCAACAAACAACCATTAATTTGCACCCACAACTCCCTTCACGTCCTGGTGATCACCTTCCCTCAATAATATACATGAATAAGTTTATTTTGAATTTTAAATTGAGGAGGTCCAGAACGTACCCAAAACAACTAGCACGGAACATCTGAAGCTGTGTGTCAGTCAAACTATTGCTTCAAAAATGCTCACAATCTCAGTCTCGGTGTGGGAGGCTAATCCTGTTGTGGGAAATAATCAACTGTTGTATATAGAAGTCCCCAACCTTGAATAATAAAAAATAACAAGAAATAGATCAGGAACAAACAATTATATACTAAAACATTTTATAAAATATATAAATAAGTATAGCAGAACTTGTATTAAAGATGTATAAACACTGTATAACTTTGTATAAATTGTATAAGCATGTATAAATTACTAGCAACACGGGAATACCTTCAACTGAGCTTTTCTCCATTCAATTTGGAGCGAATAGCAACCTTGTTGTCTTTCGATTGGAATTAAGGCCACTATCACACATCATCCTTGAATCTTTCTCCTTTTGCGCTTTAACATTGCGGCACTATCATCATCTCGTTAACCAAATCAACTTTCAGCTTTTTCTTTTAATTTTTGAAGGTCTCCCACATTTCTTACTCCATATTCTAACAATGTTAACCGGAGTAGGAGTATTACTTGTTGCGTGACGCGATCCGGGTCACTCGAGTGCTCCTTGTTGCAACTTTTTTTGGAGGAGGAGGAGACTCAAATCATCATCTCATCGGGATCCCAGACTATGCGTTTTCGCTTCAGAAGAAGGCGGTGAGGCAAGTCACTCGATGAATTTAACTGAGTGGGAGTATTTCTGTTTGAGAACGAGTCATCCGACTGCTCTCTTGTTGCCGAATTTTAGGAGGAGCATGAGACTCAAAATCATCACAGTGTGGCGCCTGGACGTTATATTAGATTCAGAATCAGGGCTGAGGCAACTCCCTCAATCTTTTCGCATAATCAAACTTAACGCCTTTGTCAGCAACCCTTCTTTTGCTTTTAGAAGCGGGCTACTTTTGAGCGCATATTTTCTCAATAACCAAACACAAAGCTTTTAACAAAATTGATACAACTAAGGAAACACAAAATTAAAAAACTGTTAACAAAAAAGTACAATACTATAAGCACATAGGGCACGATGAGCAACACAAAGCAGAGCCATTTTTCCCAAATTGTAACAAAATCAAAAATATTATTCCCTCACCTAAAAGTCG